CCCCCCCCCTTTTTTTTACATTTCTAATCACACTTTTCGGAAGAAATTCTAACGAGAAAAAGACACAGATTCCCCTCTATCTCACTCATCTCCTGTAAAAGATAACTTTAATAGAACTGTTTTTGGAGGCAAGCGGAAAATTGGTCTTTCCACTGAAGTGCAAGCCAACTTACCGTTTCTTCGCATACTTGTGATAAACGACTTTTTCGTCTTGTTCGCAATGCGATGCAGTCCGTCGACCTGTTCCCAGTTTTGGTTTGTTGAGGTTTTTCGGCAACTGTATGCCTCGAAAAACAAGAAGTCCGGTCGTTATGTGTTTCACCGCCTTTCCTGAAAAATTTGCCAGAGCCGCGTGAAAAATCAGAAAGTTATTTTTGTAAAAAAAAGCCAAAAAACTTGAAATTTGTCCATGTAAAAAAAAAACCGAAAAAATTGCAGGTAACTGCATCAAAACTTTCCGTGACAAAAAATCACTTACAGTCTCTTTTCCAACGAAACAGCTTTCACTGCTACTTCCAAATTATCGAAAATATGCTCAGGTAACGCTCTTAACGGTGCCAGCATTTCATAAAATTCCAGTTTCAGATCCAGCGTCAATTTATTCTAAAACAAATTAACAACTATAATTATATGCAACAAATAAAAACTACACCTCCCGGTTAATATATCGCCATGGTTTAAGAGTAGCAATATTTGAGATGAGATGCTGATTTTCAGTGCAGATCTTGGCCATCTCAAAATAGCAAAAATTTCGGTTCTGTCGGAAGAACCGTGGAGCTGGAACAATCCCTCGAGTAATGAAATAAACATCAAAATCGCCAGCAAGCTGACCATCAGGCAAAGTAGCACTGGTCACGGTAACACAACGGCTGATTTTTCCAGCAGCTGAGTTGGAAAATCAGATTTCCAGGGTATTACAAGTATACTTCAAATAGAAATAAGCAAAAATTCAATGCCTCAAAAACATACTGATGACGAGGGGTTGGTCTGGTTTGCATTTTTTGGACTTCTGAAATCACTGCTTTCATCAAACCGGACAGTTTTTGTCTGAAAAAATAAAAATTTTTTTTATGTTTGTTTTTTTGTAAGAAAATAAGTTTGCAGGTGATTTAATTCATCACATTTTCACGGAAAAAAACCACTAAAAATTTAATAAAAATGATAGAAATAATTTAAAATGATGCTAGTCCCGCTCGGTTGTACCGATTTTTTATCTCGGGACCTACAAAAGCTACAGGGCTGAAACTTTGGAAACTTAATCTATATGCATGTACGGGCACCTGCTGTCAAAATGGGAACTCCTGGTTCACGCGTACGAGCCCATCAATTCGTCGTTTTCACTGTTTTTTGGATTTCAAAAAATAAAAAAAACATACCGGCGTTTTTTTCACCTGTTTCAGTATGGATGAAGGTGTACTCAAAAGTGTCACCGGAACAATTCCTGCCAATCCTGCAGGCCCTATTGATTGCGCACGCGCAGCAAAAACAGCTGTTGGCACCGGTTTTGCGAATCTCTCGGCAGCTGCATCAAGCGGATTGATTCCGTTCGGGAACAGGGATGGACGTTCACGGCCACGCTGCAAAATGGGACAGATTTCTCGTAGAATACTGCTAATTACAAGCATCTGAACATGAAGACAAAACGTTCATTTTATTTGTGATCTATTAAAAGTGCTTCTATCGGAAGAATCGTCGACCGCCTAGGCAGAAGGAACGTCAGAATCATTAAGAGGTGACCAGGAATCCTGAAGATCATTTGGAATTCCAGTAGCTAGAATTTGTGATATACTGGCCCTAGAAGTTCAGGAATTTGATTGTACAACTATGTGGCACTTGTACAGGGAACATTCCGCTAAGATTTAACTTTCCAGCTGTTCTGGTTCGCGAAATAGCAATTTTCTTGCCAGAAACTTTCACAGGTCCGTACATAACAAACAAATGCCAGAACAACAGCTGTGGCACGCCCTAATAACTGGTGACGCGCACAGGGGCAGGCCAGTGCGATCATGCGTTTTTGCAGTATTTCGTGCTATGATAAGATCATTTGGAATTTCAGTAGCTAGAATTTGTGATATACTGGCCCTAGAAGTTCAAGAAGTTGATTACTACGCGGCACTTGTACAGGGAAAATCCCGTTAAAATTTAACTTTCCAGCTGTTCCGTCCCGCGAAATAGCAATTTTCTTACCAAAAACTTTCACAGGGCCGTACATGACAGCTATGGCACGCCTTAATAACTGGCGACGCGCACCAGGCAGGCCAGTGCGATCATGCGTTTTTGGAGTATTTCGTGCCATGGTAAGTCATTTGGAATTCCAGTAGCTAGAATTTGTGATATACTGGCCCTAGAAGTTCAAGAAGTTGATTGTTCAATTGCGCGGCGCTTGTGCAGGGAACATCCCGTTAAAATTTAACTTTCTAGCTGTTCCGTCCGCGAAATAGCAATTTTCTTGCAAAAAATTTTCACGGGACTGTACATGACAAACATATATACCTGGGAGCTGAATTTGAATTCTTTAAGATGTACATGGGCTAGGAAAATCTTCCTAAAATTTCAGCTTCCCAGCTTTTCTGGTTCCCGAGTTAGCAATTTTCTCGCTAAAATTTCATGTACTCTTAAGCAGGAACTAGACATGCGTGAGGGTTGGTACCGCAGTACCGGGGTGGCATTTAACCGGTGAATCCACTGGCAAAATTTCAGCGCCGGAGCTTGTATGGTTGCAAAATTGAAATACCTGGACAGATGCACAAACACACTCATACACACACACATACACTCATACTCATACTCACACACACACACACACACACACACACACACACACACA